AGCTTATGCTCTAATAAATTTGTTAGTCTCTAAGGTGCCACAAGTACTACAATTAATATCTAGTTCATAGAATCATCAACTTGCCACTTTAATCAACTAGTGCATGTTAGGCAATAAATTCAAATAGATTAGTGCGGCAGGCCAAATTCCACAGTCCACACAGATCAGGGTCCTGTGCTCGGTTAGTGGCAGAAGAAAGGTAGAGGTGGTGTTCACTTTGACTATCTGGGCTAACAGGGGGCCACAATTCTCCTCATGTTCAGTACTTTGTTTGAACAGGGAATTGTCCCTTTTATCCACTTGAACAACCTCAGTGAAACTTTCATGGAGATACTCTGCAATCCTCTCTGGAAGGTTTCTAGGGATGGCAGCCTTGTTTCTTCCCCGGGATAGGAGACATCCCTATGCCACTCTGCGATGAATTCAGCTGGCAACAGAGCAATAAACAGTATAGTGGTATATGGGCCAGTGCAGCCTTGGGACGCCAGTAGCAGCTGTGTTCTCTGGGCTTTTGTCCTCCTCAGGAGCAAGAGATACCAACTGAAACCACCCTACACGTTCCATATTCTCATACCCCAGGGACACCCAGCATCTAAACCTCCCAAGCAACAGTCTGTCCAAAGACCCCCTCCAATCCATGGCAACTCCATGGCATTGCTCTGTATAGCCCCAAGCATAACAGGTGGCAGCACGGAGTGAATCCATACCCCCAGCACTCCATGCAAGGCGGAACTAGGAGAACCATGACTATACCGACACTGACCTGTGACAACTGCAGGATCAGCCAACAAGAGCAGTGCAGTACGTGTGTTTACCATGAATGAAACATTTGAAAATGTTTTTAATATGTAAATATGTATGTTTATTATTTTACTAAGCTTTTATAAATATGGGTCACCCGCTTACAGAACTGCTTCAGTGTTTCTAACTTGTTTATTTGCACACAATAAAGTTTTATTTTCTGAAACTCAGAGTCCAGTTTACACCAAGCAGACATGCCACATTACCAAATTCACAACAGGAGTCAAGATCCCACCCATATTTAAGGTCTATACACACGAAGGCACAACATTTCCCAAAAGCATCACACAACATTTTCTATGGCTGACTGTTATAAAGTTCTTTTAAGGCCTCCCTCAACCTTATGGCTCCATAGTTGGTTTTTCTACTAGTCTGGCTGTTCAAATTCAGCAAACAGCTGGTCCACCTCATGCCACCCTGCCAGTAGCCTTTCCCCCTTTACCTCATGATAGTATTATATAATGCACAGCGTGCTGCAACAATCATAGGAATGTTTGCCTTGCTGAGATCCAATCTAGGCATTAAACATCACCAGTGAGTTTGGAGTCTCCCAAATGCATATCCAATGGTCATCCTGCACCTGCTCAGCCAGGAGTCGAATCTTTCCTTGGTTCTGTGGAGGTGGCAAGTGTATAGTTTCATGAGTCAGGGGGAGCAAGGGATATGCTTGGTCCTCCAGAATCACTGCGGGTATTTCAATATTGCTAATGTGAATGAATCAGTTGAGGAAGAATGTCCCTGCTTGCAAGTTTCTGAACAGTCCTGGGGAGGGATAGCTCATTGGTTTGAGCATTGGCCTCCTAAACCCAGGGTTGTGAGTTCAATCCTTGAGGGGGCCATTTAGGGATCTGGGGCAAAAATCTGTCTGGGGATTGGTCCTGCTTTGAGCAGAGGGTTGGATTAGATGACCTCCTGAGGTCCCTTCCAACCCTGATATTCTATGATTCTTCAAGTGTCAGGCACCTTCCCTGACTAGCCCACATGGACATCAGTGAAGCATTCCCGGTGATCCACTAACACTTGTGTAACCATGCAAAAGTAGTCTTTTCCATTTACAGAATCACTGGCCAGGATCTGTGTGCTGCCTGTCATCCCACCACAGTTCAGAAACACCGTTGCTGCAAATCCATCTACTTACTATTCCCTGCACATTGCCGAGAGTCACAGGCCTGCACAGCAGGAGACAGTTAATGACCTTGCACGTTTGGATGACAACAGCCCCCGCTATGGAGTTTCCAAATCTGATCTGATTGCCCACTGCAGAATAGCAATCTGGCATTGTAAGCTTCCCGAGCACCACCGCCGCTTGCTGTTGCACTGTCAGTGCAGGTCTTATTGTGGAGTCCCTGTGCCAGAGAGCTGGAGCAAGCTCAGCGCACAGACCCAGGAATGTGGCTTTTCACATCCCAAGGTACTGCCACCACTGCTCATCATCCCAAACCTACGTGACAGTGCCACCCCACCAGTCAGGACTTGGTTCTCCGGCCCAGAAGCACCTAGCTACTATGTAGAGCTGCTCCATGAACCCCAGCCACAACCTGACATTCTGATTTACTGTATCTGTCATCCTGCCATTGGCCTCGAGCATCTCATTTTCCTCACAATGCCACCAGTTGTAGCAGTAACTGCTGAGGTTCTGCAGACAGAGCAGAATCATACGTCCTGTATTAGCAATGCTCATGAAAATTGCGCTGAGCTGTGCAGGGTGCATGCTTCTGCCAGAGAGATGTCAGAGACTAAAACGTGTGCAGAACTGTAGGAATTTTTAAAATGGAGTGAAAGTTATGGGATGGAATAAGCATTCTGTATTGGAGAGAGTGGGATTGTGGGAATTTGAGCCCTATTCCCAGAAATCCCTGGATGAATAGCTGGTATCCCACAAACAACTGCGAAAATGTCCGGATGGCAGTGTAGGGCATGCTGTGATACCTACCTATTGATGCAACCACCTCTGGTGAGTACATGCAGCACTGACTCAAGCAGCCAAGTGTGCACATGTCCAAGTGCAATACAAAAGTTGGTGGCTCTAAGCCAACATAATTTATGTTGACCAAATTTTGTAGTGTAGACACAACCGAAGAGTGTATTTACACATTATCAAGTACATTCACAATTGACATACATCAGTCAGGCAAAATGTGAGCCTTTTACTAATAATCTGAATGTGTCTCCAGAGAGACTCCACAAAGCAGCCTCTGCACAATCTAGGTAAACGAGAAAGGAGGAATGTAATTTATAGACTCACAGAGTTTAAGGCCAGGACCATTACATCATCTGCATAACTCAGGCCAAAGAATTTCACGCCATTACCCCTGTCTTGAGCCCAACAACTTGTGTTTGTCGGAAGCATCTCTTCCAGAAAAGCATCCAGTCTTGATTTGAAGACACAAAAAAAGACAGAGAATCCACCAACCAGGCAGTTTTTTTCCAATGATTAATCACTCTCACTGTTAAATATTATGCCCTATTTCAATTTGAATTTGTCTGCATTCAGCTTCTAAAAGCTCAGATGCTGTCAGCTGATTTATAAGACAGGCAAAGGGATTTATTAATCATATATGCTATTAATTAGAGCTTTAATATTGTAATGCCATTGGCCATTATCTTTGAAAACTCGTGGCGATCAGGGGAAGTCTCGGGCGATTGGAAAAAAGCAAATATAGTGCCCATCTTTAAAAAAGGGAAGAAGGAGAATCCGGGAAACTAGAGACCTCACCTCAGTCCCTGGCAAAATCATGGAGCAGGTACTCAAGGAATCCATTTTGAAGCACTTGGAGGAGAGGAAGGTGATCAGGAACAGTCAACATGGATTCACCAAGGGCAAGTCATGCCTGACCAACCTGATTGCCTTCTATGATGAGATAACTGGCTCTGTGGATATGGGGAAAGCGGTGGACGTGATATACCTTGACTTCAGCAAAGCTTTTGATATGGTCTCCTACAGTATTCTTGCCAGGAAGTTAAAGAAGTATGGATTGGATGAATGGACTATAAGGTGGATAGAAAACTGGCTAGATTGTCGGGCTCAACGGGTAGTGATCAACAGCTCAATGTCTAATTGGCAGCCGGTATCAAGTAGAGAGCCCCAAGGGTCAGTCCTGGGGCCGGTTTTGTTCAACATCTTCATTAATTATCTGGATGATGGGATGGATTGCACCCTCAGCAAGTTTGCGGATGACACTAAGTGGAGAGGTAGATACGCTGGAGGGTAGGGATAGGTTCCTGAGTGACCTAGACAAATTGGAGGATTGGGCCAAAAGAAATCTGATGAGGTTCAACAAGAACAAGTGCAGAGTCCTTCACTTAGGACGGAAGAATCCCATGCACTGCTATAGGCTGGGGACCGACTGGGTAAGCGGCAATTCTGCAGAAAAGGACTTGGGGATTACAGTGGACAAGAAGCTGGATATGAGTTAACAGTGTGCCCTTGTTGCCCATATTGGGCTGCATTAGTAGGAGCGTGGCCAGTAGATCAAGGGAAGTGATTATTCCCCTCTAATCAGCACTTGTGAGGCCACATCTGGAGTATTGCATCCAGTTTTGGGCCCTCCACTACAGAAAGGATGTGAACAAATTGGAGAGAGTCCAACGGAGGGCAACAAAATGAACAGGGGGCTGGAGCACATGACTTCTGAGGAAAGGCTGAGGGAACTGGCTCATTTAGTCTGCAGAAGAGAAGAGTGAGGGGGGATTTGATAGCAGCCTTCGACTGCCTGAAGGGGGGGTTCCAAAGAGGATGTAGCTCGGCTGTTCTCAGTGGTGGCAGATGTCAGAACAAGGAACAATGGTCTCAAGTTGCAGTGGGGGAGGTCTAGGTTGGATATTAGGAAAAACTATTTCACTAGGAGGGTGGTGAAGCACTGGAACGGGTTCCCTAGGGAGGTGGTGGAATCTCCATCCTTAGAGGTTTTTAAGGTCCGGCTTGACAAAGCCCTGGTTGGGATGATTTAGTTGGGAATTGGTCCTACTTTGAGCAGGCGGTTGGACTAGATGACCTCCTGAGGTCTCTTCCAACCCTAAGCTTCTATAATTCTGATGTCTGAACTCTGAAAACATCCATTCTCAGTTGTTGTCAGTAGCTTGGGGCAACGTGTGGTGTTTATATGCGCGCGCACACACACATGTCTATATATGAACCCTGAATTGTACAATCCACTGTTCAGAGGTTTGCTAAAAGCAGAGGTGACTAACAAACTTACCCTGATTGTGTTGCAGCGTTTGGCAGGGGAGGTAAAGACTTGTGTTGTCTTCTGTGGTGCCTGTCCCTGAGAAATCAACTGGATACATGGGTTTCCCCTCCCATTCTGATAGGTCCTTGTCCTGCTGCTGGGACTCCAAGTTGGAGGGCGGGACTCGGCACTTCCAAACCACCTGAGAGCCTGAGCAATAGGGCATAGGGGCCGTTGGCAACAGTGGCTGAACTTCTGGGGAGCAGCAGTAGCCAGGGGAGTGGCCATAGTGAATGTGAACATTGCAGTCTTTGTGCACGTCTGAGTCCTCTGAAAGGTGAGCCAGAACAGGCTCCGGGCGGCACTTCCGTTTCCTTCTGTGGTGACGGCTTTGTAAGCCATGTTTCTGTGACAGCGGGAAAGACAATGGACCAGCTGCTCCAGCTTGCCTACTGGCCACCCAGCTGAAGTCAGACCCGTCTGCAGAAGAGGAGAGGTGCTTTGAGAGGTCAGGTCCCTGATGCACACAGGAGAGCTGTCCTGACACAGATGCAGCCTGGGACATTGGGCTGCTTTCAAGAGGCTGTTTGCAGTGACGAGTTTTCTCAGTCCTCTTTTGTGTCCGAGCACTGGGCACAGCCCCAGCAAACCGGGGCTTACGCTGGCTGGGTTCCTGGCCTGATCTCCCAGATGGACACTCTAGGTCTTTCCTGTAGTGATGGTGCCTGTGGTGGTGATAATGGACATGACTCAGTATCTGATTCTTGGCTAATGCAGTGCTGCCAGTCTCCTTCCAGTCCAAAGACCTCGGCCTTGGCTCCCCTGGAGGCTGCAGCTGCTCCTGGCCATTGTCAGTGGAGCTACAGTACACCCAGGGGTCATAGTCACTGCTCAGGGAGCTGCGGAAGGTGGAGCAGCTCCCATGGATGCCTTGGAGGCTGACATCTGTGCAATTCAACATAGAATCACTGGAGGAGCCATGACAGGGTCCAGAGCTGGAGTCACTGCCTGGCCCATCAGCCAGGTACCCACTGTGCTCTGTGAGATAGCTCTCCCCTGAGACACTGCTGTTGTGCTGTCTCCCATGAGTGGTTCCCCGACGAAGAGGGGCAGCGTGGTGCTGTCTCGGGACTACCGCCGTCCTGAATCCCAGGCAACGGGCCTGGTGCTGAAGTGGGCAGGTCCTGTGAGAAGATGGCATCTGCCCACATGCTCGAGATTTTCGGTGCTGCTCATTCCCTAGGCCTTGGGCTAGAGAGGGCTGATGGCTGCATGTGGCCCTGGAGCCCACTGGCCTGTATGGCAAATAGTGCATGGTGCTGAAATCCAACTGGGAGAGCTCTGGGGAATGGAAGAAGGGGTTGCCATGGGGGAGCTGCGAAGCAAAGTTCCTGAGCCGCCGCTGGGGGTGGGCCTCTGGGAGGTGATACAGGGCGTGTCCTGGGTGTTGCCGGAAGAGGTGAAGCCGCTGCCCAGGTTCCAGATCCTGGGAATTCTGCCTCAAATGTGCAGGCTGGGCAAAGGCAGCCCCCTCTAGAGAGACAGAAAGGGCATATCCACTATGTATCTGCATCCCATCCCACGGTAACCTGGCAACCTCTCCCCAGAACCCCGCCCACACACCCAGTGCCTGGCAAC